CCCCCCACCCCCACGCTGCGTATCCCGGGGCTGTCTGCGCCAGGTAGGCCGACCTGCCGACACCCCCACTTCTTCTAGTGCCACTTCTTCAAAATAGACTCGCTCAGGCTGAAAACCGACTTCTACGCATGGGCCATGAAGTTTCAATCACACTGTACATGCACGCCCGCACGAGGTATTTTGTAGAAGAGCCACACTCAAGGAGCCAAAGAGCCGCATGTGGCTTGTGAGCCGCGGTTTGCCGACCACTGGTATAGCACATTCTAATTTACAGAGTGCTTTCACATACATGATATCTTATTTGATCTCCCAAATTCTGTGAGGGAGGCAGAGCAGGTATTTTTATCTCATCCTTTGGACTACTGGTTCTCAAAGTATGGTCCCAGGATCTGCAGCGTTAGTATCACGTAGGAACTTGTTAGAGTGTGAATCCTGGCCCCTCCCCAGAGCTACTGAATCAAGTCTTCAAGGGGGGACTCATTTGCATTTCTAACAAGTTTCCAAGTGATGATGTTGGTGCTGCTGGTCCTGCCACACTTGGATGAAAACCACTGCTATACATTAAAATGAGAGATCTAGAAGCCCAGGGACTTACCTTAAGAGGACTCCTATCTAGGTGCTCTTTCTATACCTGCTGCATCCCTGGCCCACACCGCATCCTTTCAATTCCAGCTCTATTGCTTATGAGTTTGAGGCCCTGAGCAATTACTCTAAATTGCAATTTCTTCACCTGTAAAATGGGGATAATAGGATCAACTCCTTTGGGTTCTTATGAAGATTAAAGAAGATCTAGGTAAAGTACTTAGCATTGTGCCTGTGCTTAATAAATGCTAGCAATTACCATGACTTTTATTAATATTATTAAAAGTGCAATATTTCACAAGAGTGAATACCTTCATAAGTTTTTTTTGAGTGTATGTCCCTCCTAAAATAGGGGGGTATTCCTGACCGATTCAGACATTGTCACTTCCTCTTTAACAGCCCATCTGGGATGTTTGTGTGGTTGCCATGAGCATTTTCTGAGAGCTGGGTGCTTAGGAGGTGGAGCAGAGGAAATGAACATGTGGAACAATGTATGGAAGGGCAAACAACAGCAAGTTTACTGAGGAAACAGAATAGGGGACCAGGGGGAGTATGGCTGAGGGAGGAAGCAATTGGAGAGGGCAGTCGGGGGTAAAAGGCAAGTTATTGAAAAACAATTTACCTCCTTCAAAGTCGCCCC